ATAGGGTATATAAAAGAAGAAGATTGATCTGCAAGATTGCATTCTTATAAACATTTGATCCATTTATAAACATTTTAAAACAGGTTATTTTTTATATTGGTTACTCACCATGGTCTTCAGTATTCTAACCGAGGTGAATTCGACTTCAGATTTTTTTTTTAAGCAGACCCTATCCACTTGAGAAAGTTAAGTAACGCAGTCTTCCTATATTTATTTCCTTCAAGCCTTTACTCGTTGTAAGCTTATTTTTATGTTGTACCATCCAGTAGAAGAGGTTTCGTGTGATCGAAATTATTCACGCGCTTTGACATAAAGAAAGCCTCACTTGTTCGTTCCATATGATATTCAACCGCACTTTTTTGTTCTTCCTCCATTCTACGTCAGTTTAAAGTGATGACTATTTTAAAATTATTTCCCTTTAGGATGTAGGCGATCTTAGCTCTCTATATATCCCTGCCCCTCTTAAGTTTTGTCTTTTTATTATTTCTCCCAAACCTTGTTCTCAAACTCGTCAAGTATGTTACGCGCTGTTTTCCACTGTCCCTATTTCCCTAAATCTGCCCCGTGAGTATCAAATTTTCTAAGCCCTCCTTCCTCATTATGTGCCCCAGAAATGTCAACTCCCGCTTCCTGATGTTAAGTACAAGTTTCCTTTTTTGATTCCACTTTCTCTAAAATATCGACGTTGCTCACATGTCCAGTAGATGGTATACTCATCATCCTTCTGTAGAAGCACCTTTATGTTGCTTCAATTATTTTCTTCATCTTTGAGGAGATTGTACAGCATTCGTTGCCATACAGGAGAACAGATATCACGTAACAGTTCAATACTGTTTTTCTGTCTCTTAATACTCTGCTTAGGTTTTGGAATGCATCTTTGGCCATACCAATACGTCTTTGGATCTCAGTGTCACACTTTCTGTCCTCTGTTTAAACACTCACCAGCTATTTAAATTTGTGTACATTCTTAAGTAATGTTTCATATAGCAGACTATTTCCATAAAATGCGTGACCTCTTAAAATGGTATAAGGAGTTATCAGTATCCTATTTGATGTTATTAATCTTAAATATCATGATAAACAGAAATAATAATAAAAAAGCTTACACTCAAAGAGTTTCTGAGAGAAATTCTGCAATTCAGTTCCTCGAAATAGCAAAAAGCATATTTTTGATGATTTGCTGCAATTACTTTTTCATAAGCTTCGTTCTCTAATTGAAAGCTGAAAAGAAAGTTACCTCCCTTAGACCTTAATCATCTTATAGATGGTGGTATATTTCTGATGTATCGATTTCGAGTGAGAAATGTTTCCATTAAGAAATAATGTATTATTTTTTGTATTAATTACTTTTCTTTTTCGATTTGCTGTTTGGATAGTTTTTTTCCATTTGTTTAATTTAAAATTATTTTCTTCTTTGGGGGTTCGATAGTTTTTTTTCTTAATCTGTTTAAAAGTTATTAATCTTTTTTTTTTAATTCTAGACTGTGAGAAATTCACATCAGCTTTGAAGCAAAATTTTAATTGCTTTTTCAATTCTTTCATATTTATAAGATAATATATTTACTCGGCGTCTTCTTTTTTCATTTTTTTGAATCATTTTTATTTCCTTCTTTAATTATTTCTTTACTTCTTTTCTTTTTCTTTTTCTCTTTTTCGTTTTCAGTCTTTTCTATGTCTTTTATCTTCCTTATCCTTTCTCTTCGCGTTTCTCATCTTTTTTTCTTTTTTTATTCTTTTTTTTTTTTCATTCATTCTTGTTTGGTTCTGTTCCTTTCCTTACCGTTTTCTCGCATTTTTTTTCACCTTTTTTTTATTCTCTCTTTTTCTTTTTTCTTTCGTTCTTTTCTTATTCTTCTTCATATTTCCTTCTTTCTTCTGTTAATCTTTTGTTGTCTTTTCTTTTTCGTTCTTTTCGTTTACTTTTCTCTTTTACTCTTTTTTTCTCCAATTTTCTCTCTTTTTTATTTTCTTTTCTTTTTGCTTTATTTTTTATTTTTTCTCACTTTTTCTTTTTTTTTTCTTTGTCTTTTTAATATTTCTTTTCTTGCTTTTTTGTTTCTTCTTAATTTCTTCCATTTCTATTCTTTTTTATTCGTTTTTCTCTTTTTTTTTTCTTTCGCTATCCTTCTTTTTTGAATCCCTTTTCCTTCTTTTTACTTTTCTTATTTTCTTCCCTTTTTCTTTTGTCGCGTTTTCCTTTTTTCTTTTCCTTTCATTTTTACTATTTTTCTAGCTTTCAATTTCATCGTTTTTTCCTGCCTTGTCTGTTTTTTTTTGTTCTTTCTTCCTTTATTTTCTTTCTTTTTTCTCTTATAGCTGTTTTCCTTTTCTTCTTTCTTTCCTTTTTCTACTCTCTTTCTTTCTTTCTTGTCTCTATATTTTCTACATTTTTCTGTTCTATGTTTTCTCCTTATTTCGTTCTCTTTTTCCGTCAATTTTTCGATTTTCTATTACCATTTACTTTTATTTATTTCTTTGTAATAATTTTCTTTCTGTATAATGTGTATTTTATTATTTTTCAATTTTTTCTAATTCGCATTTTTATTTAATCATTTTTTTTTTTTGTATTTAGCCTTTTATCATATTTTACCTTTTCACCATTTTTTCACTTCTTTTCGCCTTCCTCATTTTCATTATGTTTTGCATTTTGTCTCTACATATTAAAAGGAGTATAAAGTTACCCGGAATCCGTACGCTTATACTCGATCTGAATACGTCGTTTTTTCCTTCGATTTTCAACTTTTATATCCTACGTTCATTCCTAACCGTATTCTCTCTTTAAATAAGGCCTTGTTTTTTTTTTCTTTACTTATCTTTCACGCCTGTTTCAGTACAACTAATATTCTTTTTCTTCTTCATCATCTCTTATCTTAAACTACACTCAACTAACTTTTACAAGCAGTCCGATCTCCTTTGCTCGACATTGTCTCATTGCCTGTTAACCTCTAACTTCCCATAATGCACTAAGAGAAAATGAACTAACGCATCCATCGATTAATTTCCCTTGACAATTGCACATAAATACGTTGGGCCTTCACCTGAATTAACTCTCTAGAATCGAATACAAGTGGAAAGAAATACTTCAGAATGGGAAATGATATTGGCACGGTTACAATCTTCAGCAACCGGAACAGAGACCAGCTGGGTGTGGTAATGGGCTTTGGGTAGGAGTTGAATGACATGATAAATGAAGTGTCAAGTGCTAAAACCAGACAAACGCCATAAAAATGCATAAAAATAATCCAGTAAAACTTTCAGGCCTTTCAAAATATTACATCTACACCAGAAATTTAGTTATCCGCACTTTCAGTGGATTGCATTTTGAATGAGACAAATGCAAATGCAGGTTTTAATGGCGAACAAAAATGGCGTTTATGTCCTCCTCGCCAAACAAATAAACCAAAATAAATCCTTAAAAAAAGTGTCTAAAAGCCGGAGTCTTTTAATAAAAAATGACGAGTGTCAATTCGCTAGCAGAATATAATATACCGTATTTTACGAAATATAAGAAGCACTGGTGTATAAGACACGCCCTTATGTGTTATACAAAGTTTTATATATTTAAGAAAAAAGCTACAGTTGAATTTGAATGTTTTTTATTGAATAAAATGTCAATCTGATAGTAAAAATTAGTATATGGCGTTGTAAAGAAACTAGAGCTTATAACAAAACTGAAAAACAAGTGTACTGTTATTTACTATCGTTGAAAACTAACAAAAATCCTCATTGTTTTCTCTATCACTTGGAAAGAAATATGGGCTTTTGTCGTTGGATCTAATATTATGATCAAAGAGAATGTCCTTATTTTTCACTCTAATTCTCTATACACATGCACATCATCGACCAGTAGGAAAGTCTTTTTACTACAGCATTCCTTTTAATAATTTCGCCCCTAGCAAGACGATAAAACCATCAAGACACAAAGAGATACTCTGAGAGTATCTGTTTATATCTTTGAGTTGAGGTATTATTATTATTTACATTATTCGAACTGTTATCCTTATCTCCATTGCCATATTCGCAACGTTTTGGCCAGTGTAAGCTCGGGCCTTCTTCAGGTGATTGGAATTTCGAATCTAACCCTTTATTTCGCCCACCTACGTAGATTGTTCTCGTTCCACGTGCCTTGCCTCTTCTGGATGTATCAGTTATTTCCCTTTAAATCAACACTCCAAGTTTTTGGGATCACCACTGCTAAAGCCTGGTATTGAATTCACTTTGGGTTGAGTCATTGGATCTAACGAACGCCTTTATCCACTGGGCCATGTGTCCTTGAGATACTGAGAGAGAAAAACAATGAGAAAACGTAATTGAGTAGAAAAGAAAATAGACCAAGAGGGTCCAGGAGACATAAGAGGACTGACGCTATAATTCAAATTTTTAAGATCGTCGTTGACAAGAAAGAAAGAAGTCGGAAGTGAGTTCCACAGGCAAGAAGTGCGAGAGAGGAAACAGCATATAACTTACAGTTTCATACAGTAACATCAATATTCAAATGATGAATGAAGTAAATTAGTGGAGTCTGACAAAATAGGTCTGTTATATGTATGATATCAATATACTTAAAATGTTTGTTATCTCTATCTATAAAAGTCAGGATGTGTGTGTGTGTGTGTGTGTGTGTGTGTGTGTAACAGATGTACGGCCGCAATTTTCGACGGATTTGAACCAAAATTTACATGCACATGCTCCAAGTTAGCAGGAAGGCCAAGACCGACTTTGCATTTCCCAACTCCCATCGATAGTGGAAATAATCGATTTTTTCATGTTTCTAGGGCAGTTTTCATGTAGTTTGCGCCCATTTTCTACTGGCCAGAGTAAGAGCCTAAAGCTGGCTGCCATGAATAGGCAGGAAGATTCTATTGGCCAGCGTGAGAGCCAACAGCTGACTGACACGAATGTTAACTAGCATGCTAGCATGCAAAAAAAATCGATAGCTGCATTCGTCACAAGTGAGAAAAATTTAATTTTGCATGGCACTTTACTCCAATTGGCTCATTCGCTTGCTTAAACTCAACGTTGATTCTGATTCCGCAGAACTGATTTGGGTGTGAAAAAGTATGTTGTTAACATTCTTTTTTCATTCGGTTTCTCCAGTTACGAGTCCTTTTTTAAAACTGATCGTTTTGTGTTCATTTTGTTTAGTTCTTTTTTCGTAACAGATTTAATGTTTAGTATAGAGCTTAGAAAAAATCGCAGTGTGAGATAGGCAAGAAGTAAGGCATGTAGCAACATCAGCACGGCAAAGGGCACTCCTTTAAAAGCAAGGAAGGGCAAAAATATTTTAAGTCAAGTGATAGCGATTGCTGTATGAGTCGTACAAATTTTGAATCAAGCACGAACAACGCCGGGACATGCTGCTACTATAGCTATAAAGTGTTGCTGCCGATACTTGAGTTTGAACATAGATCGCCAGAGAGTAAACACGGGCGATCCCATTATTGAATTAATTCGATCACGTGAAAGTTTAACTTGGCGGAACCAAGTAATGTATTCCGTCTGAACGTTTTCCATGGAAGTAGCAATAGAGTAGTGTGAGACTTACCAAATTCTTCCTATGGGAGTGACAGGTTGAAGGGTGGAAAATAATTCTTCTTCAACAAGGATTCAAAGTTGCTTTTGAACTCTATCAAGACTGGAAAGTGAGGACCTTGCATCTCCCGCCCAACACATCACAACAGATCTCCATTTTCGGCCTGATCTGGCATTTATAAAGGCAGAGGAGAGCATGAGAGTCAGGTTCTTACTGGAGCGGGGTTTTTTTGAGATCTCAGCGTATAATAAAAACAAGAATTATTGCATAAAGTCATTGAAAGAAATGGAATAAAGCATATTTTTGTTCGAATGTAACATTTAAATTCCTCTCTTTTGCTTCAATAAATGTCTGGTAGGAAACACCTAGTTGCATCTCGAAACTGAACAGGTTGGAATACATACATATATACATATATATATATACATACATACATAAATATATATATATATATATATATATATATATATATATATAGAGAGAGAGAGAGAGAGAGAGAGAGAGAGATTTTTTGTTTGTTTTTTCTTTCCTCTTTTGAATTTATCTCATTACAGTGATTAAATATTTCTTTTTTTTCTTTTCTTCCTATAGTAAGTAATTATATTATAGTATGATATTATAGTAAGTATTTCTTCCTAAGTAAGTAATTATATTACGAATTCCACTTTTAAACATGTCTGAATATTTACATTTGTTCAGAACATAGTGTGTTTGAAATTGTTACTCCTATCTATCATTTGCAATCTGTAGGCTTTCCCGTTTATTTCTTTTTTGTGAAAAGGTTTAAAATCTACCATTTCTTTCTTCTATGTATTTTCTTTAACAATTCATATAAGTTTTCTGTCAAAATCGTTTCCTATTGTCAAAAGACAATAGAAAGCGATCAACCTTTGTGATTTTTATTATGTCCTCTCCCATAACTCACATAATAGATATTCTGCCATCTTATTATTTGATGTGTTTCTAGCATTTGCTGTTTGTTTATAATCTTGAATGAAAGTTTTGATGTGTTTGTTTAATAAAGCTAACTCGGGATTAAATATATATTTTAATAAGGTGCTTTAGTATTGAAAAACTGTCAGCCAGTCGCGTGATCGAGGCAGTTAAGTTTATCACACAAAATCAAATGTCTGTGCGTTTAATATATATTTGTTGATATGATCTTAATGAAGGTGTGGGGGACTTTAACACAAATAGACTTATCGATGCTGAATGGGTACCACACTTAACTGGGTCCTGTGGCACGGTAATGTTAGACAACAGTATATTGCAACATCCACCTAGCACCACATTAGAGGTTTGTAAAGAGAAAAGTAACGGTTTAAAGAGAAAATTATCCAAATGTCTGTCGTGTTTGTTTCGATACATGACTGACGAGGCAGATTTTTTTCCCGCAGTAGGTTGCCATCTCTTTTTGAGATAGACCAGTTGCCATCCAAAGCTATAAAACCTGGTCTGTCCTGTTATTTACTTATTGGGGGGGGGGGGCGAGGAGAAGAGGATTTATATCTTTCCCAATGGTATTAGCACGTAAGTCAATGGGATTCGAACTCGACTCCCCGATTCCTCAATCCGGGCCGCTATCCATTACTTCACTGTGTTAATGCTGTTTATATTAAGGGCTTCATTATGTGCCATTTACATCCGGAACGTCGGTGATCATGGCTGTCCACAGCTTCACTTTTCCACCGCTGTGACGTGGCTTCCCTCTGTCTTTTCTATAAATATTTTCATAGCTATTGTTTTAATGAGATTTCCACCTAGATACCGCAATGTAGTGCTATATTGGCAACTAGGATTCACTCTGTTACTCTTGAACTAGCTAGATGTAACCGTAATTTCTAGTCCAAGAGTTTTTTTTTCCTGAACTGTGGAACTCTCTCCCGGTTTCCTGCTTCCCTATCACCTCCGAACTTCAAAAATTTGAACGCAACGCTAATCTAAGCAGCAGCATCTATCTTTCTAAA